TTATCAACGGCAGCAGCAGCGTCAGCGGCGGTTTCACTCACAACTTCAAGAGCGGCGTCAACGGCAATGGTACCAGCAACAGTAGGGATAACAGAAGCAGCCGGAGGGATGTTTTCGATATCAGCAGCGTCCACAGCAAGAGTGCAGTTTTTTTTTGCGTATTATACTCATCAAAGTGCCCAGCTCAGCTTGGAGATCATCAACTTTCTTTAACAAGATGTTCTTATCATCGTACAATGTTTGCAGCAAAGAGAACATTCGCAAATTCTCTGCTTTAAGACCAACGACTTCATCAAGCACAGACTTGAGCATTGACTCCAATACAGTAGCTTTCGGGTGATCGATTTTTTGTTTTTGTATTGCACTCATCATATTCAAACTCTGCGATTGTTGTTTATGCTTTACGTTCTCTGACCTTGGTAATACACTAGTTGAGTATTTCATACATAAGTTTGTCCAAATCGCTGCCTGCTTACAGGAATAGCGCATAGTTTCTGTATTACCCAAGCTGCAATAGAGTGCCTTCTTTAAGAATGTACTAAGCCTATCGAATTTATGAGCATGAAGAAAGTACACCGGCATTCTACTTACAAAAGAGCAGAGGTTCAGTCCCGTAGCTCAAATGCAATAAATTTGTGTGTAAATATGTACATACATATATACAAAATATTTGCAATTTATTAACAACGTCCTGGTTTTTCACACTTCCTCGCGTGACTTTGAAATGACAGTCGGCAGTGCCAGCAAACAAATGAGCGGCATAAAGTTCATTATTTAGTACTGATGCTGTCACAAAGTTATATTTTAATAGAGATATCCATACGCTTCGATTTGCATATACATACTTACTACAAACATACCTACAAATAGATGAACCAAACATTTTCACATATTTCTCGCAGAAATTATGCGGCAGTTAAATCACGCTTCGCTAATGTCGAGTGGCGGCAGTAAATGACGCACTGCGGCAACGGCAGCTGAAGAAAGGAAAAAATTCATATCAAATTTGCTGTCATAAAAGAACACACAGAAACGCACAAGCCGACGTGCTGAGGAGTGGAAAAGGGGGGCTTCATTCGTTGACGCCACTCAAGCTGACACGAACTCTTTTATAATATTCATGTGGTGGCACAAACGACACATATTTACTCTTATTAAGACTATATGTTTGCATATAAAAATATAATATATGAAAATTCCATGTCAACCGAATTAGGATTAGGAATTGGTTTTTACATTTTTTTATTCTGTTGGATTTTATAGAAATTTCATGACACAACTCAAAACATAACAATTTTAAGTATAGCCAATTAATGTTTTCCCGTTTCATAATTTTGCTATAAAATGTCTTGCAACGTAAACATTGTGGATTATTTACAGTCATTCACATACACAGCCTACTTGTTTTCTATAGATTTGGACTGAAAAAAAAACACGAAATAAATAACTATTATTAAAGAGTTAAGCGAAAATAAGTCGACTGGCATTAATGAATAACGGCACAATACGACAAACGTCGTCATTCTCTATAAAAGCAACATTAACCGTCCGACAGTTTTTGACTTATGCCAATATCAACGATAAACGTGGAACATGTGCCACTTTTCAGTAGTAAGGGTTGCCTACTTCGATTTTCTGAAAAAATGACACAATTGCGCCCTCTGTCGGATTGGTAACAAATAAGCATATGTCGATTTTCAAAACGAGAAAGATATGGTTATTTATCAATCTTATTCGCTATATAACTCAAAAATATAAAATTTTGAGTTGTGTACTTAATGCAGAAGACCACCGATATGTAGATACTTTTGCACTTTTTTGCTATGTGTCGATGGGAGTAAAGTCGGTGTTGTAATGCTTTCACCCACTAGGATTGTTCTAAATCGAAAAAAGTATACCCCGCTTTTTTATTTTGAAATCAAAAAATATTTAGAGGTCGCTCAAAGTTTTCCATATATTTTTGTATGGGAAAAAAGAACTTTTCGTAGAAATGTTATAGAATTCTTGAAAATCAATATTTTTCGATCGGAAAACTCTGGTCCTCTTCAGGAGACTTTCAACAATAATACCCAATTGTTTATTTAACTATTTTTTAATACTAACGATTTTTTTTTGGTCCGCCCATTGCATATTTCGGGGTTTTTGGAGGACCTATAAATTATAGTTGCGATGAAAAAATGGTTAAATAAACAATTGGGTATTATTATTGGGAATTTGCTGTAGATAAGCAGAGTTTTCCGATAGAAAAATATCGATTCTTAACTTTCTTTAATTAAGAAAAATTGTTTTTTCCCCATATAAAATACATGGAAAACTTTATGCGCTTTGAGCGACCTCTAAATATTTTTTGATTTCAAAATAAAAAAATTGGGATATTTGTTTTTCGGTATAGAGAAGTCCTAGGGGGTGAGAGCATAAAAATTCCTATTTTACTTTTTGACATGCATTTTTGGACCACCCTAATGGACGTACCTCATCATAAAAATATTTGCAGGGTTTTGTGAATATATCAGGCATGTTTTGCAATTCACTTCCGAGTGAATTTCAACGAAACTCACTTTAAATCCGTAATTTGGGGTTTATATTCAGGTTCTGGAAAGAAAGTGGAAATAAAGCTCGTGAGATGAAACACAGAATCCCGAGTGTCGGATTTAAGGTTAATTTTGTTGAATTTCATGCGGAAGTTAATCGCAGAACCAGCCTGATATTGAAACCGTGCAAATTTGTTTACATAGACGCGTACCTGTTTGTATATATATTGCTTATCATAATTTTATGACAAAAGATTGCAAATTTGATTTACGTGATTATTTGGTTATGTTTAAAAATAGTATTTCGTTTTATCAGTTTCCACAATTTTAGAAAAGTTGGTGTGAGTTTGGTTTGGATCCATAAATAAACTTTTATTAAATAACAATGCTATTTCTAATTTACTGGGTAGTAATTGGGTCAAAGCAATTAAAGAAAAGGTCTAATAAAACTTATGTGTTCGCTTTCTTATCTACATATAATTCGTTCAAAAAACAAAAAACAATATATACAACAAATACATACTAACACAGACATGTATGTACATTCATGTGTACATACATATGTTATGTGATTTTAGTTTCTTAAGCGTAGTTAATTTTCCACTTGTACAAACTATGCATCTATAGGCGCCGGTTTTTGTAGCGCGTATCATAAGGCCGTATGCAAACTTTTCTTTTAAAATATGGGCTCAATTAATGTTCCATTCTTTATTGTTTTTCCAAATGCATGGTTGTTGACGAAATATTAGTAAAAGAATAAAATAAATATAAATAAAATAAAGTTTAACACCACCTCCGAACGGCACATGGATTTGATAAGAAGCTTTCTCATGGCAGAAATACATTCGGAGGTTCGACAATGCCTGCCGAGGGGCGTCCACTAATTCTTAGTCTAATTTAAATGTTACTTCGACCAGGCATCTAACCCAGGTACTGCAGAGTGCTCGTACGTACCTCTAACCACTCAGCCACGGCGGCCGTTTTTCTCGATTAGTGGAACTTGAGGTTTTATTAGGCTAATGCACTTTCTCTCATACAAAAACAAAGATGTATGTATGTATGACCTACATAACGGCGATAAGACAATCGCAAATTATTTAAATAATATTTGCTGGTATGAACTATTGTACAAGTATATAAGAACCGGCAGAAGTTACGTGACTAATTGCAAATAAATACGGAGCGCGAGACCAGGCCTATTATCATTCGACTGCTAAGACGTTAACATACATCATGGGTAAGAAAACTAGAAAAAATATAAAGTACTAACTAAAAATATGTGATTATTACCTCGGACTCGAAAGAATTGTAGACTTTGAGTTTTAAAAACTAGTTCAACAAACTGTTAACATAATCGCCTCATAAATTTGTGAATGGGAGAACTTGTTTCAAGGCCAGCTAAAATCTTAATTTTCCTTTGGTTTTGTTTTAAATATCCCTAGGCATTTCCGCGAAACGATTGCTGCTCGCTTTGACATTGACGGCGGTGGCCATCGGCACCGCAAACAGCGAACAATCAGCGCGCACTGTCTGCTACTTCACTGACTGGGCTATCAATCGACCAGGAATTGGACGTTACGTATCCGAAAATATTCCAACTGAGCTGTGTACGCATCTAATCTACTCGTTCATTGGAGTTAATGACACCGATTGGTCTGTGCTAGTATTGGATAGCGAAGTGGATGTCGACCAAAATGGTTTCCGCAATTTCACTGCACTGAAAGAGAAGAACCCAAGCCTTAAGCTTGAAATCTCCATAGGAGGATGGAATGAGGGTGGTGCGAAATATTCCGAACTCGTTTCACTGGCCGAGCGGCGCCAGAGCTTCATCAGCAGTGTTGTGGAATTCTTAAATGAATACGGTTTCGATGGTCTCGACTTGGATTGGGAATACCCCGGCGCTACGGATCGTGATGGAGTTGCTGCAGATAAAGAAAACTTTGTCTCTTTAGTGCAGGAATTGCGAACAGCTTTCGACGCTGAGGGTAAGGGTTGGGAAATAACTATAGCTGTTCCCGTGACTCAATCAAGACTTGACGCTGGCTACAACGTAACTGCACTGTGCGAGTGAGTAGATTATATTATCAAATCACTGTAGAAAACTTAAGAAACAAAAACTTAAAATGTAGGCTTTTGGATGCCGTACACACAATGACCTATGATCTGCACGGCACTTGGGACGGTTTCGCTGATGTACACAGTCCGCTTTACAAGCGCGATTTCGAAACGGCAGCGTATGCAAAACTGAATGTGGTAAGTACTGTTTAGGTAATTTCGCTAGTAGGACATTAACCTTGGAATTCCCCATCCGTAGCATGACGCTCTTGCACTATGGGAGGATTCGGGCTGTCCCGCAAATAAATTAGTTGTCGGTGTGCCATTCTATGGTCGCAGTTTTACACTCAGCGCATCCAACCATAACTACTCCCTCGGCACTACCATCACTGGAGCGGGCAATGCAGGAGCTTACACTCAAGAAGCCGGCTTCCTAGCCTATTACGAAATCTGTACCCAGGTGCAAAATGCCTCCTTGGGATGGACCGTTGAATGGGATGATGAAGGAAAGGTACCCTACGCGTACAAGGACACTCAATGGGTTGGCTACGAAAACGAGGAATCGGTGCAAATTAAAATGGACTTTATCAAGGAAAAGGGCTATGCTGGCGGCATGACATGGGCCATCGATTTGGATGACTTCCATGGATTGTGTGGACAAAAGAGTGCACTTCTAAATATTTTCCATAGTAACTTACACAATTACACGGTGCCAGAGCCGACAACGTCAGCTTAAGTGCCGTTGGGCAGAGGGTTAAGTCTGAAAGTATATCTTTCGATCAGCAGGCGTAATCACTCGTGAGTTTCTCTTTGTAAATCGAAATAAAATTAAACAAATAAAATGTTGCTGCAAAGCGAATAGCGTACTGCTGCCCACGGAGAATATGAGAGTATAACTTTTTAATGCTTGCAAATAAATATCTCCGTTTAAAGTACGAAACCGCGCCTCAACAAAATGCAAAACCGCGTATCAAGATAATGTAAAACTACGTATGTGTGTGTGGTTGCATAAATAATTTTCTAGAGAGTAAAAACACTCATATTTCAACTTGGTTCTCTTTGTTCATAAAGCAATCGCATTTCTGGTTAGTATGTTTCAGGACGAATGGATATGGATTGAGCTAAGAGCTTGTGTTAGCAAATCCAATTTTTGGCAGCAAATGTCAGATACGAGGTTTTGTACTTTAAACGACGATATTTATATACAATTTTTTTAATAAATATCTGCATGTATGTACATTAGGGTGCATTACCAAAAAAACAGCGCGGTTTTCAACCGCAATTATAAAATTTATTATACATATTTTACTACTTCCACCAACAATTTTCTGAAACATATTAAGTCTACGTCTATATTTCGCCCCGGACTTTTATAACAACAAAAAAAGCAGATGACTGCTATTTTCGTCCCTGGTTGAATTAGAATTTCTTATAACGTATGTATTTGTTAAATTGTGATTTAACTGTTATTTAATTGGAACGAATTTATGTCCACTTTGAAAATATGATTAACCCTAAGATTGTGTGCATATGTTTGCATATATAATGCTATGTAATTACTGTTGCGGTCAAATTCATTGAGAAATGCAATTAACACTAAATTTAAATTACTTTAGAGAAAACAAAGAAACCTACATAATACACGTACAGTTACATACATAAATATGTGTGTATGTGTAGCTCAATACACTCGTTTTTTTTTGTAGTTATGTACTCACATAAATATACATGTGTACATATCGCTTTTAAAAACTAGTTCGATAAACTTGTGTATGAAAGGACTTGTTTCAAGCCCCCGCTAAAATCGTCCTTTCAAATAAATTCAAGTTGTGCACAATACTTAATTTTCCTTTGGTTTTGTTTTTAATATCTCCAGGTATTTCCGCGAGACTTTTGCTGCTCACTTTCGCATTGACGGCGATGGCCATCGGCACCGCAAACAGCGAACAATCAGCGCGCATTGTCTGCTACTTCACTGACTGGTCTATCAATCGACCCGGAATAGGACGTTTTTGATCCGAAAATATTCCAACTGAGCTGTGTACGCATATACTCTACTCGTTCATTGGAATTAATGACACCGATTGGTCTGTACTAGTAAAGAATAGCGAAGTGGATATCAACCAAAATGGTTTCCGCAATTTCACTCAACTGAAAGAGAAGAACCCAAGCCTTAAGCTTCTAGTCTCTAAAGGAGGATGGGGTGAGGATGGTGGGAAATTTTCCGGACTCGTTTCACTGGCCGAGCGGCGCCAGAGCTTCATCGACAGTGTTGTAGAATTCTTATATGAATACGGTTTCGATGGTCTAGACTTGGACTGGGAGTACCCCGGCGCTACGGATCGTAATGGAACTGCTGCAGATAAAGAAAACTTTGTCTATTTAGTGCAGGAATTGCGAACAGCTTTCGACGCTGAGGGTAAGGGTTGGGAAATAACTATAGCTGTTCCCGTGGCTCAATCAATACTTGATGATGGCTACAACGTACCTGCACTGTGCGAGTGAGTATATTGTATTATCAAATCACTGTAAACCACTTAAGAAACAAAAAATGTAGGCTGTTGGATGCCGTACACACAATGACCTATGACCTGCACGGCACTTGGGACGGTTACGCCGATGTACACAGTCCGCTTTACAAGCGCGATTACGAAGATGCAGCGCATGCAAAACTGAATGTGGTAAGTACTGTTTAAGTTACTTCGCAAATAGGACATTGACTTTGGAATTCCACATCCGAAGCATGACGGTGTTGCACTATGGGAGGACTCAGGCTGTCCGGCAAATAAACTAGTTGTCGGTGTGCCATTCTATGGTCGCAGTTTTACACTCAGCGCATCCAACCATAACTACTCCCTCGGCACTCCCATCACTGGCGCGGGCAACCCAGGAACTTATACTCAAGAAGCCGGCGCCCTAGCCTACTACGAAATCTGTGCCCAGGTTCAAAATGCCTCCTTGGGATGGACCGTTGAATGGGATGATCAAGGAAAGGTGCCCTATGCGTACAAGGACACTCAATGGGTTGGCTACGAAAACGAGGAATCGGTACAAATTAAAATGGACTTTATCAAGGAAAAGGGCTATGCTGGCGCCATGACATGGAGCCTCGATTTGGATGACTTCCATGGGTTGTGTGGACAAGAGAGAGCACTTCTAAATATTTTCTATAATAACCTAAACAATTACACGGTGCCAGAGCCGACAACGGCGGATTAAGTGCCGCTGGACAGAGGGTGAAGTCTGAAAGTATATCTTCCGAATAGCGGGCGTAATCGCTGAAATTAAATAAATAAGATATTGCTGCAAAGCGAATAGCGTGCTGCTGCCCATAGAGAGTAAGAGAGTAGAAATTTTTAATGTTTGCAAATAAATATGTATATACGATTGTAAGTCAACGGAAAAAAATAACCGTTTTAGAAACCAAACTTTGACTAAAACTTAGTTGTTATTGGGCTTTCATCATGGCTCGTCCTCTCCTGATAGGTATTTTTAATTATAGAAAAAATATTGTATATTTATATATTCCTGTCTGAGATGCATTTGCAGTAGGCCCAAATGTGCTCGCAACTCGTAACTTTTGGCTTAGCTAAATTTAGCCTTTAATATTTTTACCGCCTTCGTTTACTTGTTCTTCCAAGAACTTTCTCTGGATTTCCATGCGACTTAACTTTGTTTGCTACCCCTCTTCGATTAGCACCTTTTGTTGTTAGAATTATATGTATATTTTGTGTTTTATTGTTGTTGGTCTGTTTGTTATTGTTACGCCATCCACGCCATAGCCGGCATGACACGCACACTCATGCGTGACTTATATGATTTCTTGTTTTGTTCCTTTGCTGTTATTTGAATTGTCCTTTTGTTTGAATTTAACAGTCATTGCTTTTTATTGTTTACTGTAAGGATAAGGATATGGAAAAGGGAGTACACCTTAAGACTGTTTTTTTTTGTTTTTTTTTTTTTACTTAAACTCGCATTCGTATTTAGTTATATAAAAAACATTAAATATTTTCCTAGTTCTGCAAACTTATTCTTGCGATAGATATGGATTCTTAAACACTTTCTTAAACACTGTAGTTAAAAATAGTTAACTCCTGTTAATGAAGATTTGATCTCTCCAATATAGCCATCGAATAAGATTTATTGTATAGAAACTGTTGCATATCAATAAAGATTATCGACAATGTCTTATTCAATCATATCTTTTTTATATGCATATTTTTATTTAGCCCGTTGGATCGAGAAACGGTAGAAAGAAAATATTTTCCAGGGACCGTAACGGCTATGATCTTTATAATAAAAATCATAGTTTAACTGCTAGAATTTGATTTAAAATTTTCCCTTCAAATTTAATCGTTTTCGTAATATTTTTAATTTTTCGATCAAAAAATCATTATTTTTGGATTTATATTTTTTCGATCATACCATAACCATTATTTTAAGATTTAGTTTTTTATATCATAAAATGCATCATAACGATTAAAAATGGCCGAAAAAGTGAAAACCCAAAATCAACGATTACTATTGATTCCAAAAATAACGCATTGCAGTGATCTAACAATAAAAATTTTGATATTAAATAGTCCTTTTAGGTCTCTGGTAGCTGCACCACCCCCAGCCAGTAGCAAAAGCTGCCAAAAATATAAAATGGAAATAAGAGGAAAATCTAAAAAAGGGAAGATGATTCGCCGTATAGCATTGAGTCTAAAGTACTTTTGCAAGGCAATTTCGCAGAAGAAAAATTTGTCCAAATGTTTTTAATTTTTTTTTGCTATATTTGTCTCGAACCCCGTTCTAGTTTTTACCAACCAGAGCGAGCGCAGTTCTTATTAACCTAACATAAATTTAAGTGCGCCAATAATCATACAAATTCTGATTATTAAAGAGGATTTTATTATTTAAGTAGAAATGTAAAAACGCTACCCCTAGGTTTGGCCAAGCAATTTTTAGTTTCTTAATTGCCTTAGAAAATATTTTAGACTCAGGGGTATATGGCGAACTGTTTTGATTTCTTGTAAGGTGGTATATATGTACATATTTGTAAAAAGAAGTAAACAAGCAATCATGTACATATATAAAATGTGTCATTTCCATACATGCGTGTGTGTATGAATAGTCATAGGCATTAGCATGAAGCACTTGTAACCTGAGTGCGCACCCTCATATTCACTTGCGAGAAAAATATCAAAGTGATCATTAAATTTGAAACTCATACTTTGCTGTCGTAGCATGGGAACGACAAAATTGCTACGTTAGCTTCATTATTTGTGTCATTCTAAACCTTATTACAATCAGCGCAAGCACATAAATACATACATAAACAAAACAAGAAAGAAGGGGTAATGCGTAGGAGCTTAAAGTCTTTTGTCTTACCATTCACTTTTGTTTTTTTGCGCATTTTCAGTCGCACAACAAATGGCAGCAAAAGTGCTTTAAACGCTTAAATATCTTGAATGCCAGCTATGTACGTGCGGGCACTTGCAGATTTTGTTTGTTTATTTTTGTGTGGCATACTCGTATCTTTGGACGCCATTGACATTTACACATGTGTATGTACATACATGCCAACAGAGATCTAAATGTATTAAAATTATATGCATACATACTTATATAATTTACTGTGCTACATATTCATAAAAGCATTTGAGGTTCACAGAAAAATGTCGCTCATACGCCCCAGAGGCCAACAAGCAGACATTGTCACTGCCATTGACATTTACGTTACGTTGGCAGTCGTGTTGCTCGAATGTGTCCCCTATTATACATATATACATAGTAACTGTTATTTTTCCTGTGTTAGCTGCCATGCTACCAGGGAAGTGCCTGCTGCTGTCGCTATTTGCGCCAAAGGCATATACAAAGTAACCATTGTTAACCGTTTCTAAAATGCGTAAGTTAGTAAATATATACATGCATATGTGGATATGGACATATATGTATATGTGCATTCGAATGTGCCTATGTTGCGCCAAGACTCAAAGGATTTAAGACAATTGTCTGTCATGCTACGCACCGGAATTGTCTACCAGGGGAGCACCTACCGACATATACGCAGATGTACATATACACGTACATATGTATATATTTGTGCATATACTATATATATATACCATATTACATATGCAAATATTTAAGCCCACATTCACAAGCGTATTGTTTGCATGTCTTTTGTAGCAAATAACCATATCGCCAGCGGTTACAAAATCCTTTGATTTGCTTAAGTATATCTATATAGCTTAGTATTCAAGCTCTGCGCTTTTGTGCTACTGATTCTTCACCTCATTCTTAGTACGTCTTTGTTGCTAAATATTATACGAGATAATACGAGTATAATACGAGACACTTTTTGCCATTTTCATTCTTATCCTCATTGACTACTTTGCTTTTGCTTATTAGTGTGTACATACATATGTATGTATATGAATTTACTCCTCGTGTAAGAACATAAGATACATATGTACATACAAACGTCAACGCGTGCAAGAATATGAGCTCAGCTCGTTTATGAAGCGAATAATTAGATTAAAATCTTTTATCCATGTATAGTTTGTGAAAACATACCGCTTGGAGGGATTCGCTGTTTTTCCTATCCTTCCAAGCCTTTCCCGCAACTTTTTCTTACAAACTTTGAGTGTCTGTTTGCCCTAATCATTGTTACAAGCGACTCCATCATAGAAGCAGCAGGTCGAATCGCATGACAATATTCGTTCGCCTTTTCGCTTTTCCGCAAGGGTACTTTTGTACGCAACTTTCATTCACATAATAGCGACATTGTGGCCTTGCGACGCACAGTGGTCTGAGCGTGACATTAGGTGTTTCTTAGGAAAATCTAAATATTAATATTCGAAGGCTACAAGAAATCGGATTGAACCGCAACTCCTTAAGTAGTACATAAATTGATATACATATATTGACGGGTAATCAGCTCCGCCGCTTACAGAAAATTTCAGCGAAGTTGGAAGATTTTTAGTAATTTTTACCGTGTTATATATATATAATGGTTTTCCACTGTTATTCGCACCCGTAGCCCTCTCGCCTCTCGGGTGATTATACCAAAAGCGGTTTTACTTGAGATGTTTCCACTTACTGTGCGTCCACAGGGATACAGCTAAGTGCTTGGCATACTTGCAAGTTATTTCGGTTTTTCGCTCATTCCTGAAACGCGACTAGCAACTAATGCGTTAAGGTGGATCGAAAGTTGTGCGTCCTGTGAGTTACTCATACGCACAGGTGGATTTTGGCAATACAATGAGGAAGATTATTGTTTGGTACAAAATGGTGTGATGTAATAACTACTAAAATTCGTAGATGCAAATGAAATGAAATAGCATTGAATAATGAAGTCTTTTTTGCAATGGCAAGTTACATGCCGCATATAAAATGGCTGTCAGCAAATTATGCTGAGATCAAGTAATTTCGCTTTGTAAAATCTGTCAATTAATTCAGTAGAAATGGGATAATTTATCATAAATCAAAACTAAATGAAGAGAAAAAGATTTTTTTATTTGTTTTAGCACCCACTGTTGAGGAAATCTGAAAAAATGCCTAAAGGTATGCAACCATTTGTTTTTTGAAATCAAGTACAAACCATATACTCGTACGTACACGTGTTAATCACGTATCATAGAAATTAGGAAAGAAAATGTGAATTTACTTGATTTATGGTAAGTAATTTGATCGAAACAAAGTAATTTAGGCTATAATGCGAATATAGTTTTAGGCTGTATAATTTTCAGAATGGCACAAGGCATATATGGAAGAGAGACACACAGACACGTAAGTGGGTAGAGTACAGAAACATTTAGTGAAATGATGAGCAGAAGTATTTACAACTTATGCAAAGGATTATGAAGTTTTGGTAGGAAGAAAACATTTTTACACCCTCATCCTAATTAGTTAATTTCTTACTGAGGGCGTAATGAATTTTGTAGGAGATTATATGATAATTGTTTAGTTATTCTATAACCAGAACGTGTATGCCACTTAGGGTTTTTTGCCCGTTGGAGCTATACGAAAAGCAGAGAGCTTTAGCAGAGGTAACAGAATAGATAAGACCTGACGTGAGAATAGATCCGCAGTACACTGCCCAAATTTGGAATTATTCTGTGCAGAGTTAGTGAACGCAGCTGATGCCAGAGTACAATTCGCGTTCGCATCTAGATCGATAGACTGGCAGCTATACAAATTTCTTGGAGTCGTAAAAAGGGGTAATTACTGGGTTTCATAGCAAAAAGGCTATGCTTATATGCTCCATCCCGAATAACCTTAAAATTTCCAGTTAATTTCTTTTTGCGTTCTTTTGTTCCTGTGGGGGATTTTTAGTAAGGTGAAAAACGTAAAA